TTGTGCTCCTTTGTTTCCAAGGTCTGAATTTGTATTATCTATTTTAGCAGCAATGCTACTGGTAATGCTTTTCCCCTTCCCTCAAGAAAAAAAATAGTAATGTCTAGTTTAATTTGTTTTCTCTAAGCTGCTGCCTTTGAGCTTTTCAGAGTGACACAGGCGTCAAAGCAAAATTTCACTGACTCCAAAATCTTTTCCTTTGGTTTAATCACAGTTAAAGGTTGAGCAACAAGAACACAAAGGCTACCTCAGGTGTAAAAAAATAAAAGGGTGAAGAAGTACATCAAGTACATCAGAAGTCTGCCAGGCAGAAAGCAAATGGCTAAATTTATAGAGGTGGTTCCTGCTAACAGAAGAGCTGCTCAGCCCCAGCTATTTCATTACTACTGCACTAAAGGATCCTAGGGACGTTCTTTTTTGAGGTGTAGGCAATTCAGAGAGCTGAAACAGCACTGTAATTTGGCCTATGAAAAATGAGTAGGTGTTCACAGTTCATTTCCCAACAGAGAAAGTCATGCACATCACAGAAACCATCATCATGCACAGAACTAATAGCTGCCCTGCTCAGCAGGCACACCCATGCACATCACGGCAGCCTTGCAGTGCCCCAGCTCTCACCACATAAGAACAAGAGACTTTGGTTGGCAACACTGCCAGCAAAGCACCTTTTTTCCCAGATCTACAGGCAGGTGAAAAAACACAGCAGTGCTGTAAGTAAGTAAATACGAACAACCAACACTAGACTGCTGAAACCACAAAACAAATTGAAAACTGTGAAACATTCCCAGAGAAATCCCCTGCTCCCAGCTGAACTGGAATAAAAACACACAGAGTCATAAACACAAAGTGAAAAACTCAGGGATGTAGGGGAGAGGATGCAAAGCTAACAAAATGTTGGATAAATGGTATAAAACCTGCTGCTGCTTATCAGAATGAGTAACATCAGCTGTGGTCAAAGGGCAGTGGCTGGACAGGACATGGTTTTTTTCACATTCCTGCTGCAGGCAAAGGAGAAGGCAAGGCTTGGGAACCTCAGAGCACCAGCTCTTGGGATTCCAGCAGCCAGCTATGAGCTACACAGGGACTCTGCCTTAAACCTCAGGACCCCTCTGGAAGACCATTAGACTGATTTCTGCTTGGATATTGCCAAAATAAACCGAAGTCAAAATTGGACGTGGCTGAGTCCAATTTCACCTTGATTAGTATTTACATAAGGCACAGGGAAATGGGAGAGGAGCACATAAATAATGTACTGCTTGTTGCAGGTCTCTCAGGAGGGGAGGTCTCAGCTCTGGTATTTATCTGCATGCACACACCAGGTCCCTGTGCAGAAACCCTAAATTTCTCTATTTGTATTATTATTTTTTAAATATATTATTTTATTAAAAAAAAACCAAACACCTCTATGCACAGAAGTAAACTTCCAGAAGCTGAGTCACACAGGTTGGGGTGCAGCCTCAGGCTTTACTACACCAAAGGGTCAGACAGCTGCATTCCAGAGCCCCTTATGGAAAAACACGGGGAGCTCCCAGATATGGTTAATTTACAAGATGCTCTCCATTTCCTTCACTTCTTTTCTTCTAGTGAACTTCACGTTTATGACAACAGTTCCAGGAAATGCAAACTTGGGAGGGGCTGATTGTTGAATTTTTTCCTCCTGTTACAGTACCAGCGCTTATCCACCCAGTCCTAATATAAGTTGGGGGGACTCCAAAACGAAATTATTACCTGGGAATGACTCAATACCACCAGTTTCTAAGGCAGCTGCACAATACAGTATTACTCAACAGCCACAAGCTGTCGGTGCCACCTGTGAGAGCAAAGTGAGAACAGTTTCTCTTCCCTATTCTCATTCTTCTCATGTTGGAAGGAGTGGTTAACTTCATGCTCAGTCCACGTGGGTAGGGGTGGAGGGCATCTGGACACTTCTTTACCTTGGTGAACATTTTTAGGAAAATAATTCCAATACTTTCTTTGAAGAGACCTTTTCACTTCTACTTTTTCAAATGACACCACGATCCCCTACCACACTTCCCCCCAAAGCACCAGGTGTATCTGACCCTGGTTTGCAAGGTCCTGGGAAGCATCTGCAGGCATTCAACCAGAATGACAGAAAATGGCAAAGCAACGATTAGACCCCACCATATGTTGGAAGCTACAGCGTTCCTCTGCAGGCTTACAGCCCTAAAGCTGGAAGTTTACAGCCTTCAGCTGTAAGTTAAGTAGCTGAGGGTATTACTAATGGCAAGAGGCATCTGAAGTGTCCAGCACAGCAGCTATCCCCTGACAAGACCCTCATACTCAGCCAGCAAGAGAGGTAGCTCAAAGATTCAGCATCACAATTTTCCTGATGCATCAACGTCTCACAAGTTTGCAGCAAATGAATGTCATCCTCAAGCATACTGTTAGGAAAGATTGCTTAAAACTAATTAGCTCAGTAACAATGGCCTGTCATTATGCTACTAAGTCACCAGCACGAGCACATAAGTTACAGTGACAGCTCAGGGTATAAAATAAGTGCCTTTATATCGAAATTTGCAAAGTGCTTAGCAGTCAAATGCCAATCTATTCACTTCTGGTAATATTGCATAGTTTCCTCTTAATAGACTGCTCCAAACTCCCACACACAGATATGACTTATTTTACTACAGAGAGGTCTTTCTACTTCATACACTGTCCATGCACAAATATAGAAAGCTTTTTAAAGTGCATTTATTTCTACAGTGTTGATTCATTCCACATCAGGATGAACATGAGATTCAGAACATGACTTTAGAAAAAGCTGAAGGTAATGGAACAAAAACTCTCTCTTGGGTGACTTAGCCAGGGATGCATGATAAACTGAAGGTAAGGACCGGATTTTGAGGGGCAAGAACATCAGCAGTTCCCACATGCAGCACTTTACAAGATTTCCCCAGTAGAGAAGGAAATAGTTATTGCTATAATTATTTCATAGTTCCAGTCAGCTGCATTCGGTTGTACTGTTATATTCCAATGGCAGGAAAATGGAATACAGTAAACTATAAATATCTGTCAGAATTCCTTTGAAAGGACAACAGTTAATTGCATATCTTGATCTCCTGCCGTGCAGAGCTTGCATTTCAGGTTAGAAAGGTACAGATTGTTATTGATTTAATTCTCTTGAAACATGTGTGGTATAAAACTGTTCAAAAGACTTATGGGGGAGAAATATATGCTTCCAAAGGAAGTCCTACAGCACAAGGCTGTGGCAGGCTACCTTCTTGTAAAATGCTTTCTGAAATTCAATACATTCCCTTCCAAAGGCCCTCACAGCCCCCTCAATAAATTGAGGCTCCTTGCTTCATTTGCAGAAGTGAAATTAAATCAGTGAATCAGATGAGGGACAACAAAAGATTAGCAATAGTATGAGGTGCATGTAAAAATTCTGTGTTAAGAATAATTCAGTCCTTATTACACACTCACTCTAACAGATCCATTCCCATCTTTCCTGTTTTACTTTCATCTAACTTCCAGTTCTACCCTTCTCTATGCAAAATGATCCCAGGCAGTCAAGCCAATCCTTTTGACAATTATATTCTTCTATCTTTGAATCCACCTCTGATTTGGCTTGTGCAAAGTTGCTCTGATGACCCAAAGGCATCAGGACATACAACTGTGCAGTAATTAGTTAAGCCTCATCCACTCTGGGAATAAATTTCATGGAATAAATTTCATCATAGGCATGGACAGCAGTGAAGGTGAAGCCCTGTTTAACACTTGTCCAGCTCATCTACTTGCCACTGAGGTAACTTGACCCAGTGTAAATTATGTATCATTGTGATTTTGCCAGCCTCCCTCGGTGCATAGCCTGCTGCTGGTACACAGAGAGCCAGAACCACACTGCAGGGAAGCCTTTACTAACAAGTTACACAACTACCAGTAAATAGCTTACTCCCAGATTCTGTAATTAAGATGATACAACTTCCTAACGATTGCTTTAAAGTGACAAAATATTAGTGGGAGAAATGCTGCAGAAATGTTTCAGCACCTGTTTATCATGACCATGTGTCAAGCTCCATTTGCACACCCTGCCAGCCTTTATTAGGAGAGGTCTGCAAGTTGTAGACTGCCAAATATACCTTCTCTGAATCAGTTGTTACTAGTTTTCCCTTCAGTTTCCAGGCTTAGGACACAAAATCACCAGTCTCAATCTTCAGGTTTCCCAGGGTGGGTGGGTGAGGGTTCTTTGTTCTTCATTTGGGAATTTTTAATATCTTTTTTTTCTTTGAAGCATTAGCTGATTAATAATATGCACTGAGGGATTAAGATGAAATGCATTGCTTTAACAAATTTAAGAATAAATTGAGCACAACCTACAGGACACTTGGAAACTGAAGCAACTTCCACCCAAGGAAAATTTCCAACACAACAGTTGCACCCAATAAAACTGAAAAGGTTGTTACTTTTATTCACCCCTAAACACCCTGCACCACCACACACTGAGCAGGAGGCTGTGCACCACGTTCTAAAGGCAAGAGAATCATTAAATAGATGGCTGAGCCCAGCAGGATTTGGGCATCCCTAGCCAAGCAGGACACAGCATTAGGCAATCTCTGGGCCTGACAGCAGACACAGCAGAGCTTTTTCCAGGGGAGGCAAGGGGGGCTCTGAGCTGCCCCAAAGCCCCCCATGGCATGCAAGTCTTGGGCATGGAGCATCCCTTTCCCAGGGCTGCAGCAGCTCTCAGAACCCACAGCCAGCGCTGCCACCCGAGGGAGAGCAGACAGGCAGAGACCCAGGTGTGAGAGGGGTGGGGAAAGTTTCACTGGGATGAAGTAGGTACGAAAGAATCTCTGGAGGAGAAGAAAAAAAAATTAAAATTAGAGAGATAGTTGAGCACTGGGCTTTTGTCTCTCGAGCTCCATTTCTGTGGTTTAAAGCAAGGATAAAGATAATAACATCCTGTCCTGAAACAATTTCAGGAGCTAAATAGAGTATATACAGTCAAGTAAAATTAAGCTATTGTTATTAACTCTCACCTTCTCTCACCCATGATATCAGATGAAAAAGACAGTTTCTCTGAAGAAGAAAAAAAGCATCATAAGAACTACCATTCATACTGCTATTAACTATAATAGCATAAATCCTCAATATCTGACTATTACAGATAGACTTGAACTCCTTTTCTTTCTTATTAAAATTCCCTCTCCTTTGCCCACTGAGAGCAGAAGCAGGGAATTTCTCCCTCCCACCCTGGCTGTGAGATGAATTCAGACAGAACCCCCTGCTCCCCACACACCTGCCTGGCAGGAAGGCTGAGTGTCCCAGAGCTGCTCCGGCTGGGCTGGGGAAAGGGGCTGTACCTTCCACCCCCTCCTTTATGACTCCTCAGACCAGCAAAATCACCCCATGTCAGCATATGGAAGCAATTAGTCAAGGAGGGGAGGGTCAGATGCAGCTCTCTAAGCATTGATTGCAAGCTCACAGCTTCTCCCAAAGGCAAAAAAAAAAAAAGTGTACTTGAACCCTTGGAGCAGATAGGCTGAAGCTGATTTATTGGGGTGATTTAGATCTGTTAAAACAAATTTAATTTTGAATACAATTTTATATCAATTAACAGAGTCTCACAAGTGTAGCCATTAAGGAATCTCTTTCCAAAACCAAAGCCAAATATTCAAGATTTATGAGACTGACTTGCCATATTGGAAGTAACTAATTATTCGTAATGATTCTTTGTACTCTGACAGTGATTATGTATTTTCAGTGCAAATGACCATGATGAAGCAAGTGATAAAGGCAGCCCATGTTTGTGAAAGGGATACCAAGCAGTTAAGGCCTGATTGTTTTGGCAAAGTATTGGGGTAGCAGGGAAAGAAACAACAGAAAACAACTAAGCTCATCGACACAATCCCCAGTTTATTTAACATCCTGAAGTGTCTCCTGGTGCATGTCAGAGCTGTAATGAAAGTCTGTGGTCTCCTTTTATTGCCTTAAGCAATTTTGTATTCAGTTTATTTATTGTGACCTTTTGGTTGTCCTTCCACCTTGGACATGACAGTCTTTAACAAAGCAAAGCCTTGCAGACTCAGCTCGCAGCATTTGCGACAGATTGTGGAGCGTGTTTGGGGTGAGAGGAACAACAGAGATTTGGGACATGATTCTCATTTGCATTAAATTTTCTTCACCTCACTTTGATGGCACTGGGCAGGAAATTATAGCAGCAGCCCTGCTTCCACCTCCACTGGATGAAGGAAATGTCTCTGGATTACTCTGCCCTGATTAAAGTACCTGCGAATCGAAAATGATAGTTACACAGGGATTGGGTAGATTTTTCACACTGCCTCAGGCTAGACAGGACACAAAAGCACCGCCTTTCTCCTTTTTCATAACTTCCAGTACTGCCCCAGCCACAGGAACAGAGTGATCAAGAGCAAAGTCCCTGTTGCAGTGAGGTGCTCAGTGCCAGCAGGGTTAATGTCCAGGGGCAGGCTTGTGGCGAGAGCAATGCCATGTTTACTGCTGCTGCTGCTCTGATGCCACTCTCACTCCAGCTAGGAACGAGGGTCTCATTTCTGATCCTCAAAAGGCAAAGGCATAGCGAGTTTGTCATTAAAATCCGCAGCAGCGTGCATGTGATTAAAATGTTAATGTCAATATTGTAATCAAGGTCTGACTCACAGGACAGCTGCTAAGAGACTTGATCTGTATTGCTTAGCCCCAGTCACCTGCTGCAGACCAGGGTTAGGGACCGGTTGTGCCCCATCACATGGCAGGGGTTGGCATTCACTGGCTCGTGTGGCGAGCTGGAGGCTGGGAAGGGACAATCAGCTCAAACCCAATACTGCTCAGCTCAGGTCCAATACTGGTAACTTCAGCTGTGCCTGCACTCCAGCCAGAGGAAAGCTTTTCAATAAATTTCCTTGGCATCACCTGAGCTGCAGTTCTGCTGCAAAGGCACTCGTGTCCCCTGCCTACCTGCAGTGCTGCTCCTGGCTTGTCCTGGTCGCTGGCCTCACCCACCCATCTCCCTTGTTTTTGGAATTTTTCTGTGCTAGTTTCTATCCAGTTGAGTTTTAGACATTTAAGCCTGTGGTAAATTTTGCCTGATGTTGTCTAAGCACCCAAAGAGCTATAGTCTGCAAAGCTTCTTTTCAGTAAATTCAGGATTAATGAAGAAGGCCTCTCTATTGTTGGAATGTCTAATACAATTATCCACTGAATGAATGGACTAGGCAGCAGTGGAGGGCTCCCAGGTTTGTGGCAGGGAATTGTCTGTTTTAACATCCATCTGTTTTCATTCCCTCTGATCCATTATCATTCACCTAGAGTTATAACATGATGAATATCATTGTGTGGAATGCCATTTGATGCTGGGGGGAAACAAAACCACTGTACGTCTGCCTTCCATTGAAAACACAAAATTGCCTTGGTGGAAGGAAAGGCATGATTGATTCAGAGATGCTGTTTCAAGCAGAGGCATCCTTTCCCTTGTGGACTGTTTGATTTTGTTAATTCCTTTGGATGACCCTTCTGCTGCATCTTTCAACAAGAAAAAATATATATACAAAAATGAAAATAACTATGGACAATCATAGTGCTGCTGAATTTGTGGAGTTAATTGAAAAAAATAATGGTATTCACAACTTTCCCCAGAAGGCACCTTTGGTTTATGTTCCCAGTGACATTAAACTCCACACGTAAACACGGGATGAGAATCTTGATGACCCTGCTGACAGGAAATAAAGAAAGGAACTTTACAGGCAATTTCCACTGTCCTTGTTGGTCAGCAAATTTGGAAGTGAATGAAAAAAAGAGAACTAGAAATGCATATTAATGATGAAGAGCCTAAAGCACAACAGGAGCGAGATGAGTCCTAGCAGGAAAAAGTGTTAAAAATGCCCCAGTTTATCTTTTTTAATGACTTGCCCTTATGATGTACTTATAAGCAACATAGAAATTACCTTGTAAATAAAAGGACAGGCTCACCAGTGTAAAAATAACTTAGTGAACTCAATGGAAATTCTCATTTCTAGAAAGTGTCCCTTAAAAAACTGGTAAAGCAAATGCAGTTGCTAAACCAAATCCCTTGTTTAACTGTGTGTATCCAAACAGAGACCATTCATTAATGACCATCTCCAGGATCTTGGTTGTGCCTTTTAAACACCATCCACTTAAAAAAATATTGTACATTTACTTAATGAAACAGGAAATATCCTTTGGAAATCCACAAAGTCCAGCAAAGCCCAGGGCAGATAACTGTCTGGCTCCCCACTAGCCTGTAATTACCCAAGGAAGCAGCTAGATTTAGCTATCTTCCTTCTTTAATTGGCACGCAAAAGATTATAGGATTTTATTAGGACACAAATGACACCGATACGAGTGTGATTGAGGTATGCAATGCATGACTGACTATTTGCATTAAGAGGCTTTGCACTGCTCATGGGATTTCTACCTTTGGTTTTAAATGGCTTAAATTTAAATGACGTTTCTATGCTACATTTTAAGAGGATGATATTTATTTTAGCACTTGTCTAAGTAAGGTAGGGCAACGCTGTTGCCAGAAACCCTTCTACTGTTTGGGCCAGGTGGAAGTGGGTTAATTTTTGACTATTCTGTTGTTACAATTAGATCAGGAACAAAAGCAAATGGTGGGAAAACGGGCATTGAAGTGCCCACCTGGGAGTTTTGATGAGTGTGTTACACACTCAGCTGCCAGCCTGCCACTTCTGGGGACACCAGCCTGAGGAAAGCACCATCCCTGGTGATGGCTGAACTGGAATACAGTGGGAGCAAGTAGCAGGAGATTTTTTTGGCTTCCTTTATTTCCATGGCTCCCACTAACTCTGAATCTCCTTCATGGATTTTTCCCCTTATACATGAATCACAAGGGATTTCTTTAGGCTTTTTTTCAAAACATCTTTCTAATGTCTCTCACATCCAGAACTAAAGGCCCAGGGAAGGTGAAAGCAGCTGAAGAAGTAAGGACTTAAGCCGAGTCAGTCCAGCTGAGCAAAGCCAGCCCCACACAAGGAAGGGAGTAACCAGAAGTGATGGTAACGTGCTACAATATCTGACTAGGTGCAATAAAAGATGGTAACAGGAGGATTAAGTCCTGCTACCACTGTGGTATGTAGGACAGCCCCGTGCAGGAGCCCTGATGCAGACACACCTTCCTCAGTGCTGTCCTTGGGACTGGGCACTGCACAGCTGCTCAGCTGGCCACCAAGCCAGCCCCTGTCCCAAGGGAGTGCCTGAGGACCAAGCCTTTGGCCGGGTGATCCTGGAGAGAGGAAAGGGCCTGAAACTGCAGGGAATCAAGAGAGGAACCAGCTGGCTCCCGCATTGCAGAGCCCGAACAAAACCTCATCGGGATGAATGGACGGGGAGCAGGAGCTGATGAACAGTGTCTCCTGCTCCCACCTCCGTGAGTCCCAGCCCTCGGTTCCCTGACACTGCTCCGTGTCCCCCCTGCAGCTCCGGGTGCCCAGCGCCCGTGTCCCGCACCCACATCCCCAGCTCATCTCCCAGCTCGTCCCCTGACACGCAGATTGTTCCCTAGCTCATCCCTCCACTCTTTCCACGTCTCTCAGCTCTTCCTGCGTTCCCCAACTTGTCCAGAGCCCCCAAGCGATCCCTCAGCCTGACCCTCGGTCCAGCATGCACAACTCATCCCGCAGCTCGCTCCCTGTCCCTGGCTCGCTCCTCTCCCCCGGGAGGCGTCTGACCCCCAGCCCTTCCCGCAGCTCGTCCCGTGTCCCCGGCTCCCCTCCATCCCCTCGGCTCGCCCCTCCATCCCCTCGGCTCGCCCCTCCATCCCCTCGGCTCGCCCCTTCATCCCCTGTCCCGGCCCGCG